AGTCACTTCCATTTTCTGTGAATGTGTTAAAGTAACCTCCATTCCCAGTAAGTAGATTCAACAATGACAAATGTCCACTGGAAAAATGTTGATAGCTACACAGGTGTGAAAATTTTAAAAAAAGCAAAATCTGTTTTCTAGATGGGAACAGAAGGTAGATTCTGTTGGAGATTTGTTTGATAGTTATAAATACCAGATACAAGACAATGTCAGTTAAAGATTACTTGAGCAGATAGATGGTAGACTGAATGCACTGTGTGATGTTGATTGAATGGCCTGGGATTTTGCTTAAAAATCTTAAAATTAGTAACTGGAAAACAATTAAAGAAGTGACTACAATCTGCAAATTCCAGGGTTGCCCACTGGCCCAGAAGATGGGATTGGTGCTACATGAGACACATCTTTGAGGGTTTCCCTGATTTTCACACAAGAAAGCTGAAGAAAGACTGTTTTGTGTATTTCTCTGGAAGCATACATGACTGTTTTGATGCAAAATAGTTTTTTGTTTTGTAATAATTTTCATATTGCCAGGATCTCAAACTATTTCTATTTAGAGTATCACCATTTCTGTAAGCACAACATTAGGCTGTTAGAGCTGAGCTTCCTTAACATTTTGTCAGTAGATCTGAACGAATGGGCTGCAGAGACAGGGGCTGCTGTCAGGAAAGGGCTCTGGCAGGGCTGTGAGAGTGACAGACATGGTACCAGATCTGTTATCCCTGCTGGAAAGAACACTGATTTACATGTGTGTTCAGAGCCATCTGGATTCATTGCACACATGGGGTAGAGCTGAGTTTCACTGCACAGGTGGCCAGAAGTGATGCACACATAGGAACACTGACCCCAGGTTTCAACCAAAAGAGCTAACAGGAGTCTGTTTTTTCCCTTTTATGTTCCACTCATTGAAACCAGTGTTAAGCAATGCACATTTCATATTGCTAATATGTAATATAGATTGCTAAGTGCTAATCTTCCTCAGCTTCTCTTTTCCTCCCTAAGTCAATGCTGAAAAGAAATAGGTTTGTTTACTAATTAAATGAGACACAAAATATAGATAAAGGGCCAGATGCTCAGCTAGGATAGTAGAGTTAGCTTATCAGAGTTCTCCCTGCATGGTGCTGTGGCTGTTACCTGTACTAATCTCTGTAGTGCTCATTTTCAATGTGCTTAGCACTGGAATCCCAGAGCATCTTGAAATTATTGGAAAGCTTGGTTGATTTTACTTCCTTTCTGGGGCTGGGACCAACTCCTAGATCGTGACAAGCAAAAATGTAAGGGAAGCTAGCACTGTGTTGTGCGGTTCTCTTCATCACAGAACAACTTACAGTTTGGGAAAGACTGACATAGCCAGGGACCACTGCAGAGGATGGAGATGTCCAGTCCCAAAAGATTTACATGACAGCCTTGACACCCATGGGAAACTTCCTTCTGTACAACATTTAGAGGCACAAGGTTCTTAAGCTCTGACACTGTGATTAATAGTGTTTTGCATCAAAATGCTGAACCTAGACAGGCTGAGTGTAAAATGGGTAGTTCACAGTGTAGTTATTCTACTATTTCTGCATTTGTGGTAAAGGAGCAACATTCAGAAGCCAGTGTGTGGGTCATGGCCCTATTTTGAAAGTTAATTCTGAATATTGTTTTTCTCAAAAGACAAATAAACTTATTAAACTCCCTTCCCTTCCCTTCCCTTCCCTTCCCTTCTGGTTTTCACATGTCTGATTGCCAAGTGAGCCCCTGCTGAGGGCTTCATCACCCTGCACTTGCTCCCTGTTCTCAATCCAGGGATGGGGTTGCTTGTGACATGCCAGGATTTCCTGCCTGTGCACTAGGAAATACTGGAAATGTCTCTGATACCACTATGAGATAGCTTTTGAGAAATGGCGAGTTTTCTAGTTGGTACTGCTGAAACATCTCAAACCTCTTGCAATTCTTAGACTGCAGCTTCAGCATCAACTCATTCTGAAATGGTTCCCATTAACCACTTGCCTCAGCTCCTGCCCTCAGTGCATTCCCTGCCTGCTCTCTACGCTGCTTCACAGCATTCCCATCCAGAGCACCTTTCAGGAGATGCACTTTGGGGACTGCTAAAGCCCTACTGCCTGTTATAGCTCCAGTTGAGAGCAGCAATAAATGTAAGGAAGGGAGAGAGGTGCACTGAGCATTCAGGCAGCTCCTGTTCTCTGCAGTTGCCTGTGGAGACACAGTGTGAGGAGGGAAGCTCGGCTCAGCGCTTCATCATGCTCAGGAAACAGCCCAAAAACACTCACCTTCTTGGACTGGTACAGCAAGGAGAACAGTGTGAAAGCACTGAAATACAGAAAAAAAACCAAAAAAAACCCCCAACAATTATCCAAGTATTTTGAATCTGAACACAAATTGACAATCCCAGTTTGAGTTAACTTTCAGAAATGTTTCTCCTTCTGATGTAGGCAGTTAATTAATTAATGACACCCTGTGGTGTTTGATGCCAAGGTTCCTTCCCCAGCAGCAGTGGAATTGATGTGCTCACCTGTCCCTCGCCCGCTCCTGGCCACTGGCCTGGCTCAGTGCTGCCAAAAGTGTGTCTTCACAGAAATATCCCAGTACTTCTTTGTCTGCTTCCCAAATATGTTCTGGAAAATGTTCTTATTAGAGGTAGTGTTTACAGAAGATCTAATAAAAGCAACTTAGACAAGGAACACAAACATTGCCAGTAACTTTGTGGGCTTTCAAAGCAGCAACAGGGAAGTACATAATGAGAAGTGACTACAAAGTTATAGCAGGAGCTGGGGTTTAAGCCATCCTCTGTCCCCCAAAGGCCTCTGAAATGGTTTCACTGGGATGAGTTTTTTTCAAACTTCTCAGATGCTTCAATTATATGAATTAGAAACATGCTGTATTTCCTGGAATGTCTTGAAGGCTTGCCAACTTATTAGCTCTCCTTTCGAGGAAACTCCACTGAAAGCAAAGCAAATTAATGCAGCTGAAAACCTCTTTTTTTCTGGAAAGTGGATGGTTTTCCAGACAATACAGCCATACCCTGGGCAGCAGGGATGTCCTGCAGTGCCATGGCTCTAGGGGTGCTCCCCAGATCCCAGGCAGATTCTTCCTTTCTCCAGCCCACAGCTGAGTCCCATGAGGTACCTTGCTGGTTGTGACCTTATTTTGTAAATTCAACTTCTCAGCTGCACCTTGGGCCTCCATGATCAGACTGCTGAAGGTGGCCATTCCCAGAACCATAGAGCAGGTAGGCATAGTGGGGGGGACAGGAAGTATTTAGACCATCACAGAGTGGTTTGAGCTGGAAGGGACCTTGAAGATCACCTAGTTCCAACTCCCTGCCATGCACAGGGATAATGCCCACCAGATCAGGTTGCTCCAAGCACCAATGAACCTAGCCTTGAACACTTCCAGAGACAGAGTATCCACAGTTTCCCTGAGCAACCTGTTCCAGTGCCTCACCACCCTCACAGTGAAGTGGTACTCCCCCTCATCTAATCTAAACCTAGCCTCTTTCAGTTTAAAGCCATTCCTCTTTGTCCTATCATTCCATGCCCTTATCAGAAGTTCCTTTCCAGCTCTCTTGTAGCACCTTTAGGTACTGGAAGGTACCATAAGGTCTTCCTGAAGCCTTCCTCAGGCTGAACAACCACAACTTCCTCAACCTCTGTTCACAGGAGGAGTGCTCCAGCCCCTCCAGCATGTTGAGCACATGCTCTGGAAAGATCTATGAATTCTACCTGAATTGTTGAGGGGGAAGAAGTGTGTCTGTGTGGGCTCTGTGCAGGGGTCCCTCTGAGAAGAGCTGAAGGATAGTGTCACTACCAATCCCCTCAGAGAGGCTGGTGGCACCCACAGGTCCCAGGAAGGTGACTTCACTCAGTATACCTTGATAAACCTTGTCCCGTCTTTTCACTGACAATTTAAAGCTGTTACATTATTCACTTCTTACCTAACAAAAGTGACATTTAATTCCAATGAGAGCTACACGCATGTATACCTATAGACTTTGTCCTTATATTTTCTTAATGCCAAAAGGGCTCCTCTTTTTTTGATAACAATATTGTATCTTTGAGGTGTGTTTCTTGTCACGTCATATTGTGATGAATCACACAGTGCCATGCCAGTCACCACAGAGAATCAGATATAAAACAAATTATTCTCCTGTAGGGGTTTAGGTTCACCAATTTGAGTTTCCCAGCCAATGCACCAAATAATGTTGTGGGTTTAGTGCTGGCTAAAATTACTAGTGCCCCTACTAGAATTATTTATTCATTTCCTGCTGTGAGATATGAATTAGGAGGAAGGCAAAGCAGGCTCAAAAGGTATAAAGGAAACTTTATTAACAGAATTAAAAGAATAGTAAGAATCAGTATAAAACCTTCATAAAATTTCTCCTCCTCTTCCCACAACCTCTTTTCTTTCCCAACTGACAACATCGAGACAAAACCTGGGATTTTCAATCAGCTACCACCTCTACAATAGTCTTTCATCAGTTCTTGTAGGGAGAGGAGTTTCTCTTGCCATGCCATGGAGACTTCTCCATAAGAAACAGTTCTCCTGTGGTTTAATGTCACAGTGAATCAGCCACCTGAGAAAGGAAAATCTGTTTGCAGTGTCAAAGTCCCTCCCATGCCTTGCAGCTTTCCCAAAGCTGCTTCCATGGGCCATGTCAACTTATGGGGTACTATTTTAAGGATGAGCTGTTCTAGCATAAAAAAAAAAAAAAGAAGTTCTTTTTATGTCTGAGAACAGAGGCTTTTCTTCTTCTATCCTTGGGGCAAAGTTTCTCATCTCTCTCTGGTCAAGTTTCTCATTAGATTACAGCTTTTCAGCATCCACATGCTCCAGCATGAGTGTTCTTTTCTCATGGGCTACAGGTGACTGCTGCATCCCCCCATGCACTTCATGAATTACAGGGGGGAAAAAAGTCTGATATATCAAACATGTATCTTCACCACAGCCTTACAAAGAGAATTTCAGCTCAAGAGCAAGGCTTCTCCTCAATCCCCTCCTAACTAGAATTAGACTCCTTTTTACTGACCGCAGTGTCCCATGTTGTTTTTCCTTATGTGTCTTCACCTTTCCTTTTCCTGATTCGGGAGAGAATTCGTAGGTTCATTTGTTCTCAAGCTTTATCAACTGAAACAGTTTTTATAGAGTTTTGCAGCACTGAAAAGCTGATCTCATCCAGGCTGTGCATTGGGGAGATCGCTCTCCATGCCTCACTGCTGCTCACGGGGTCTCTGCCGACACCGTCGTGCCAGCTCGCTCAGCGCTTTTCTTCATGCCGAGCTCCGGAAACAAGAAAAGCTGCTGCTGCCATTTTTGTCCTTCTGTGCGCACCATGGCTGGCTAAAAGCGGCCAAACAAACGAAGTTCATTGCGAGCCACGCTGAGGCAGCAATGGCTGCGCAGCGTTGGTCACGCTGATTTTTCAGCCCCGCAGTCCCGGCCCCGTGGCCACTCCTGGACTGGGCTGGTGGCAGCCACTGCCAGCCCCCGGCCGCTCCTGGCCTCGGGGCCGCTCCCAGCGCCGATGCAGCCCCCGGCTGGCACGGCCCGGCAGTGCTGCAGGAAAAAGGACCGGCGGGCTCTGCCGAGAAGGGGCCCGGCCCCGCAGCGAAGGGGCCCCAGCCGCCCGTCAGGACGGGGCCCGGTGCACTCCCCGCTGAGGGGCTCGGCAGCCCGCCCACAGCCCCTCAGGGAGCAGAAAATCTCGGCCGGGCCCGTGGGGCCGGCCCAGCCCGGCCGCGCAGGGCCGGCCCGACCGGCACCCAGTTACCTCTTCCGAAGGCAAGAGAGATTTCCCGGGCTTGCCTGTCTTTAAAATGTGAATCTCACGGATGTGGACCCAGCTTTTAAATGGTTCAGTAGGTTGTCAATTTTCAGAGCTGGACAGCTATTTGTTTTTGCTAGGCACAGAGGAAGATCTTAGCTGCTTCTCTCTGAGAAATCATTCCCGTGTGTGGCTTCTTCCCTCCCCACCAAATGTCAATTTATGCAAAACCAGCACAGGGAGAAATCAGGATTGATTTTTTCTGGCCCTCAGAGTAGGTGTTGGTGACAGCTATAATCAACACAGAGGTGCTTATACTGTTGATGAACAAAAACAGCTGTTAAAAAAAATAAAAAATATGGAAAGTATATTGTGCCTAGAAACAGGCATGTAGCTTTATAGACTGATGCTGCATCTGATGCCACCAGGACTTACATGAAGCCTGTATGTGACCCATACCTTCAGTCACAAGGGTCAGAAAACATCAGTGCTTGCCAGGCTTGCTTTAGGTTGACAGTGCCTGTGTAAATATTAATTTAATAATTAATTTAATAATTGTTCTTTTGTAAGATGCTGAAGCTTTCTGTTTAATTTTTAGTATTACAACTCCCTTAGGGTTTGTTCTAAGGTTTCAGAAGTAATTGGCAGCTCATTAATAGCTTTGCAATAGCACTGGAAACCATAGGAGGGAAGCTGCACAGGGTATCTGGAGCCCTGGGCTTTGCTGGACAAAAAGGCACTTGTTTCCAGGCATGTGCAGTTCTCGGTATTTCAGTTTACAAAGAAAAATATGTTCTCTCTTCTATGGATGAGGTGGTGATGTATTTCATAATTTTGATTGCATCATGTTGTCAGGGAGAGGGAAAAGGAAAATGTTCATCTTGGCCTCCCAAGGACAACCCTCTGCCTGTTTTCCAATCTCCAATGTGAGCTGATAGGAAGTGCATCAAATAAAAATCACAATTTGGCCAGCTTATCAGAACAACTATAAAACCTGAAAGAAAATAAGCATGGAGCACAAGTCCTGTGAGGAGCAGCTAAAGGAACTCAGGTTGTTTAGCCTGGAGAAGAGAGGCCTGAGGGAGGACCTTATTACTCTAGAGATACCTGAAAGAACATTGTGGCCAGGTGGGGGTCAGGCTCTTCTCCCAGGTAATGAGAAACAGGACAAGAGGAAATGGCTTCAGGTTGTTTCAGGGGAGGTTTCGTTTGGACATTAGGAAAAATTTCTTCACTGAAAGGGTGGTTAAGCATTGGAACAGGCTGCCCAGGGAATTGGTGGAGTCACCATCCCTGGAATTCTTGAAAAAACGTACAGATGAGGTGTTTAGGGACATGGTTTAGTGACGGGTTGGCAGTGCTGGGTTGATGACTGGATTCAATGAGCTGAGGGGTCTTTTCAAATCCTGATGATTCTGTGTGTGGGCTGGTTGCTGTGATCGGTGTTTGGCACTAAAGTCCCTGTTTGTGCCCCTTGCAGGCCTGGCGGAAGCGCTGGTTCGTGCTGCGCAGGGGCCGTATGAGTGGGAACCCCGATGTGCTGGAATACTACAGGAACAACCACTCCAAAAAGCCCATCCGCATCATAGACCTCAATGAATGCGAAGTGCTGAAGCACTCAGGGCCCAAATTCATCAAGAAGGAATTTCAGAACAACTTTGTCTTCATTGTGAGAACCACCTACCGCACCTTCTACCTGGTAGCCAAGACTGAGGAGGAGATGCAGATCTGGGTGCACAATATCAGCCAAATCTGTAACTTTGGACATCTAGAAGATGGCACAGGTAGGATCATGCTCATCTTGGAGGCTGGAAGAATGCCCAAGGATGGCAGGAGGCATGGACCTTGCTGTCAGGCTGGGCTGGGCAGGTGGAAGAGGACTGTGGCTCCTATAGCTCCATACAGCACTGAGATACTGCTAAACCTTGATCTGAAAGTTCTCAGTTCACTGCTGCTGGGTGGAAATACTCACTGACTGCTTGGTCTCACTTTGATGAAGCAGCTCCTGCTAGAGCAAACGGCAGGTCCTTAATAAGAAAAGGTGCTGTTTATGTGAAAAGTTGACTGCTATCTTCTGGGGCCATTTATTTCATTATCATTCTGTGTTTATTTAGTTTGGCTTAATGTAAGACACCTGTTCCAGGAAAGCATCCTGCATAACTCCCATTTTCTCAGGTTTTGCTGGATGTGTAATGTGCACAGACATGGGTGTATATGCATGTACATAAATCAATGACAGAGATACTAAGCTGCCTTAGCCTATTAATAAAAGAAAATAAAGAAAAGGTAGCAAATAGGAGTGTTAGAAGTGTGTGTATAGACTTAAGAGATGGTCCTGCCAGTGAAGCATAAAGGCAGCTCTTTTGCCAGGCCCTGCACCTGTATATATATTGAGCGGAGTGAATTTCTTGAAAAGCTGCCAAGAATTAACCACTCCAAGATGGATGTAGCCAGTAATTAAAGTGGGGACCTGTACCATCATTAGCTTACCTTTTAAATGAGACAACTGGGCTCAAATAACGGTAATCTGTCTTTCCCTTGACAATTCTAAGGGGCAGATTCAGCAGCAATTGGAGAGCTTCAGAGGAAGTGAGACAGAATTAAGCCTTTCAATGTGATAAAAGGCAGTGCAAAAGTAGAAAAGGGGGACACGAACCCTAGGGCAGTAATGTGTTTGGGGGCACCATAGTGTGGCCAGGCAGTTTATCGTTCCGTGGTCTTTGTGCTGCTCCACTCAGAGTGCTGCTGGTGTCTGAAAGTGCTACATGGCCACACCATTAACAAGCAACTTGATAGGAAGCAAAAAGCTATGAGGAAGGTTTTATTTTAATCTATCATGGCTCCTGGCATTGCTTAGCTGCCTTTTGAGTAGTGTCTTCTGAGGGAAATGGGAGTGGCAAGAACACTGCAGTGGTCCTGTTACAAGTGTGATGTCTATTCTTTTCCCATTCACTTCAGAAACCATCATGAAGACTTGCTGACAGATTGTGTCAGTACAAGCTGCCTGTGAATACAAATTTCAAAGTAGGGCTGGTAGGGATTGGAGTCTACTGCCCTTTGGAGCTTGGATGGAATTAGGGATATTCAGTAACCACCTTCCTACTGTTCTGCTCTTGCTGAATCTGAATTGTTTTTGGATTATTATTTCTGGTGCAGGATTAATTTAGGTATAGTTTTACCAATTACTCTGAAATTAAGAAAATCCTTTCTATGCAAAAGAGAAAAATAATTTTTGTCTCTCAAATGTGTAGGCAGCCTTCTCCTGGGTCTCTGTAAGGATGTTCATGGGGGATGTGATCTGTGGCAGAGGAGCTAAGACAGTGGCTGTCCCAGATAGATGCATTTATACTGGGAAATGCCTGCACTGTTTTGCTGGTGCAGTGCACTATTGCTTGGAAGACTTGCATGTAGACAATACTTGGAGAATTACATGTTGGTATTTCTCTCCCAGAAAAGATTGTCAGTATGGGCACTGATAGATGGGAAATGACAGCTCTTGCAGCAGCAGTTGGGAAAGCTGGCATTCTGCTTTCCAAAGCAAAGAAGTTCAGTAGTGCCAAGCATTTGCATTGGTTCAGTACAAAGTCGGAACCTGAACTTGCAGTCCTCATCAAGGATGGTGTGAGCTAAGCCTCCAGACATGCACTTAACTGTGTCTCTAATGACAAATAGCTCCTAAGAGCTTCTATTTATCCTGCAGCTCCTGCCAGTGAGCTCAGGTCTGGGGTGTATCCAGGTCAGACTGCCAAACACATCCAGATCCTCTGATTTAAATCTGCATGGTTCCACAAGTTGCACATCACATTATAAACAGTTGCTTATTGCTTCAGCTTTTCAGGAGCTCCTAAATTCTCCAAGAGCCTGTAGTTTTAAACAAATTACCCTTAAAAATTAACATTAGAAGATAAAAGCCCTATTAAATGCCACATGCTTTTTTAGTTTTATGCAGTGACTCAGCTTTAAGCGCTGTCCTGTTGTTCCCAGTTAGTCCCTTCCAGCAGCAAAGAAGCTGGATGGACAGTCAGACCAGAGGTGTTGGCAGACAGATATGGAGCAAAGTTACGAAGGCCGTGGCTCCTGTGAGCACGGTTGTGTAGTCAACAAGAGGGGACAGCTGAGAGGCAGAGATGACATGGCAGCTCCAGGCAGATGTCAGGAAGGACCTGGGAGGGCAGCTGTCAGGAAGGACTTGCCAGCAGCACTCACACACTGCTGCCACAAAAGTGCCTCTGGCTGTGCTGGAAATGACAGAGGAGATGGCTGGGGAGTCAGCTGGAAGAGAGAGGAAGAGACCTTGCTCCTGGTTTTCCTACCCTATCTGACCAAAATCCTGCTTCCATCTTTGGTGAAATCTCCCAATAGAGCCATCATTCCCCAGGCCCATGGGACCCATGGCCATGAAGGGGATTGAGAGGGTGCTTGGCCCAAGTGTCTGGGGCAGGGGAGAGGATGAAATGAAGTTGGATGTTGGACAACAGGGGCACAGTTTATCCCATGTTCAAGCTGAAGCTATGACTAACTGACACAATCCAGTGTAACAGCTTTTCACTGGACAAGCTAGTGGAAGGTTGTTTAACCAGCTTCATTAGGAAGCCTTACTGTTATTTCTACCTCCTTGGTATGTCAGTGCAGCCTTGGGGGTGGTTGATGTGAGAAGAACACCCCTATTCCACCATGTCCCACCATGCACTGCTGTTGCACCATAACAATTCTTGGGGAGGGGGCTGGGGTCTGTATCAGAAGGGGAAAAGGCATCCTCTGTTTTTCCAAGCAGTAGCCCTTCATTGATTAGAGAAGTCACTGTGGAAGATGCTTTTCAGCCTCTGTGGTGACTTTCTCCACAATTGCAGGGCAGAAATGTTTTGTGTCAGTACCCACTAAAGCTATTATTTTGGCAACTGAAGCCTCCTGTTGTCTCTCTGGCAAAGGGGATGGCAGGCACCAAACCTATTCTCTACTGTCTCACTGTTGAAAGTAGTCATGCATAATTTATTCCGCACAGCTGCTGTTGTGGTAGTTTTAATGCACACGATTTGGTTACCCCTGGCAGGGACAGGAACAGTCTGTAAGGAGCTGGCTGCAGGACCCTCAGCCCCTGAAGGTCAGAAAAGGGCAGGTCTGTGCTGTCCCCATCCCTTCCTCCTGCTCACAACCATTGCCATGTGGTCTGCAGCTCACAGCCTTTCCGGATGGGATAATCCATGGCTAAACCCTGTAACAGATGGAGTTCAGGCCTATTCGTTCTCTGTATTAGTAACCCAGAATGCCATTAATTTATTTCTTATGCACTGTGGCAGTTGTAGTTGTTGGTTTGTTGGGGTTTTTTTAATGTAGTCAGATGGTGAAGTGAACATGCTTTACTGAGATCCCTAGGGAGTTAGCCCAGTGTATATTTGATCATTGTCAGCTTGCAAGACAGTTCTGAGAGTTCAAGATTTAAAAGCAGAGTTACTGTCTGAGCCAGCATGCTGACCAAAAGTTATTTTTCAGATGGGAAGGCTGCAGCCCTTAACTTTGTTTTGCAAATGTGAAACCCTATAAAAGCCATTCCTTTGAGAGATGATCACTAATGAAACCATGCTGCTATAAGCACCTGCTCAAAATTAAAGCAAATCCATTGCCTACACTTAAATTTAAGCATGTTCATACATTTTCTGCTGACCTAAGGCCCACTGCTGCCCAGACTTCTGAAGCTAATTGGAGGAAGCAGAGGGAGTCAATATTGGTAGATGGGAAGGAAAGAGGCAGCTCCCTCCCAAGTTGAAAGGGATGAGATGTAGGATAGTGCAGGGAGGGAAGATCAGCTGTTTTATTCTTCTGCTATCAGAAGGATGAGGGGTGAAGCCTGCTATGGCTGGCTTAGGACCCTAGATCAATAGGATCATAGACTATCCTCAGCTGGAAGAGACCTGCAAGGATCATCAAGCCAAACTTCTGGCCCTGTACAGGATGACCCCAAGAATTGCACCATGTGCCTGAGAGGGTTTAGTTTGTGTTTAGTGATGTTGCTGTCTAACCACAAGTCTTGGTGGCCCTCTCCATACCTCCTGGTCTGCTTGTACGTATACCCAGCACCTCCCAGGATTGAGAAGTGACTACAGCAACCTGGTACAGTGCCAAAGCTTGTGGCTCTGTTGAGGTTGGGACTAGATTGGACCTGCTGGAAGGTCTCAGGACCATATCACACAGTGCAGGATCTGGGCCACAGGATGCATCAGGGGCATCATCAGGGGCTGGTATGCAGCATTTCCATCAAGTTCTGGATATCAGCATTAGAGAAATCTATCATCTTGCTGCACTTGGAAGGCATGTTAATTCTCAGTGTGGTTTTATCAGCAGTCACTGGTTTCTTGTGTTTGTTTTTGCTGAGGGGTTTTTCATTTTGGAAAAGGGTTTTGCAGCTTTGACTCAGGCAGTGTCTGAGCCAGAGAGATGGGTATCCCCTGCCTAGCCCTGCAGGTGTCAGAGACCCAGTGGGCACTGCCCCATCCCCACACAGCTCTGGTGAAGGAACTGCCATGCAGCAATCTGAAACTTCATTAGAAAAATCTTATTCCCTAACTGAGGACTTGTGCTCTTGGTGCCGCTGTTTGAGCTTGCTGCCAGGAGCAGATGCTTTTGGGGAGCTGCTCTGTAAAAACACCCTTCCCACTCCACAGCTGACATTGTGGGAGGTCTGGCTTGCACTTGATTTTTTCTTTGATTTTTTTTTTTTTTTTAAATTTAAATGCCCCCAAAGCTTTGTTTAGCTTGAGTCTGTGTGGCTCAGTCATCACTCCTTCTTCCCTTCTGCCCAGCTCTCTATCAGGGACAGAGGTTGGGAGAGGAACAGAGAACCAGACTTCTCTGCTGCCAGGCAGTGCTCAGGCCAGATGGATCTGACTGTCTCAGGCAAATGTTGCCACTGAAGGATGGCCTTGGGGATGTGAGCAGGCAGCCAGCTCTGGGCCAGCCCCACTGCCTGCAGCCCTGACCCCTTCCTGTCCCACTGCCATCCCACTCTGTGCTGGGGACATTGGAGTGTTATGCCCAGAGAAAGTGTCACTGGGCTCAAGCTCCCTGTGCCTTGTGACCTCCAGAAAAGTAGTGTCACTTTTCTCAGCAGAGCCAAGAAGCCTCCAGCTGGGCAAACAGCCACAGCACTGCTCTTGTGGCTTGGTGTCTAGCTGAGAGAGGCATAAAAAGCTTGCAGACAAATTCAGAGCTTGTCTGGCTACTCCACAAGCTAGAAAGCTCAGTTTTGTCTACTGAGATTTAGAAAGTGGCAAGAAATAATCTCTTTCCTTGTCACCATTAATTTGAAGTGTTGGAGATGAATAATTAATTATTTGCATAAGATACTAAAAAAATACTTGATAAAACAGGTTGCTGTGCCTCAGCTCTTTGTTCAGCTGAGTCTGTTCTTCATTGCTGGCTGCAGGAGGGATGCCTCAGCCCTGTAGGAGAGGGGCACCCCAGAGCAAGGGGTCTGCACTTCCTGCAGCCTGGAGAACTTAGCCTGGGCAGGGGGAGCAAAATCAGGCTCCACTCTACCCAGAACCAGTGTTTGCCTTGACTCACTGCTGCTCTGGCATAAAACATCCCTGGTGCAAAAGCAAGGTGGTGACATCCAGGACAGTCAGAGGGCCAGGGCGAGTCAGAGCCATCCCTCATCCAGGCCATCCATTGCCATTGCAGGTTCTGTGGAGAGCCTATCTCACACGACCTCGTCCCCACAGCCCTCACCGGCCGCCTCCACCCACGCCTCCCGCATCGCTGACCCCTCCTTCTCAGTTGACCGCGCTGCTGCTGATGCTGCTGCTGAGGAGACCCCCAGTGAGTCCGAGTCAGTCTTCCTCCCTGACTACCTCTTCCTGTCCAACTGTGAGTCGGGCAAGCTCAGCCACAACAGGTGAGTCTGGGGTCTGCCAGATATGTCAGGCTGGAGCCCCCCTCTGCCTGTCTAGGCATGAAACTGGGGCACAGAGCCCCAGGGAGTCCTGCCACGCAGGGCTGGCTCCCAAACACAACAGGGGACCACCAGCTTAATCCAATTTACAGGGTGCTTTTCATAGCACAGATTAGTGCTTGGCCATCATATGTTGGTCCTGTCCCTTTCCAAGATGGGTGTCTGAGGATCTCACACACAGCCCCCCTCCAGACACCTGCTGTCATCCAAGATGCTCCACAAAATGTCCCAGCCTCCAGTCCAGCTCAGAGGGAAGGGACAGACCTTGTCCCAAACTGTGTGGCTGGGATTTTTGTTTGCTGCGTTCTTATAGCCAGGAGAAAAGGAAAGCTTAGGTCCTGATCTTTGTCTCCTTGCAGGTGTGACAGCTGGTCAAACTCAGACAGATCTTTGGAGCAAACATCATCAGACGATGTTTTTGTTGACTCCTTGCAACCACCGCCCTCCTTGTACCTTGTACAGCCAACCAGTGCTGGCACTGTGCACCAGGTCGGAGCCCCAGTAGCAAATTCCAGCATCGTGTCCAGGAACACAGATATTAGTGGGTCATCCAGTGACTTTTCCTCCTCTTCTCCACTGCTGGGGAAGCAACTGACACCAACGTTTCAGATTGACAAGAGCCAAAATGCGCTGCCCTATGGTGTAACCCAGCTGGATGTGCTGTCCAACACGCCCCCACCGCGGCCGCCCAAGCCAACCCACTTCTCAGACAGGAGAGGAGGTGAGGTGGGCAGCGGAGCCCTCCAGAACGGGCACACAGGGATCTGCCAGGCTCAGGTCACTCTGGTGCCCAGAAGGATCTCCTTGTCCAGCTTGGACAACATGAGGAGCTGGAAAGGTGAGTGCACTTCCAAGAGCCTGCAAAGCAGCATCAGTGTGAGGGATGGAGCTTTCCACATGCACAGAGTGCCACTCTGTCCTCCCCTCTGTGAAATCTTACACCACCCAATGTAACTTTCAAATGAATTAGTAAGCAGGATTCAGGCCTGTCCCTTAGGGTTCAGCTCCTTCTCTGTAGAAGCCTCTCAGTATGTGTACAGATGGGCAGCAATTTGGCTTTGATCCCTTCAGGGTGCCTCATGCCTTGCTAATTTTTCCCCTCCATCCTCAGAGGAGAAAGCAGTAGAAAAACCAAAATGAGAAGTCAGCCACTGAATTGGGCAATGACAATCTCTGTTTATACAGGTGGAAGTGTGGGCTTGCATGTGGGCAATGGCTCTGGACCTATGCTGCTTTGCTATATCTGGTCCATTCTATGAGAGCTGCATGTCTTTTCACAGCCTAGAGTAAAGACCAGGAAGTCAGGGAGACTCTGGGGATGGGACATAATCCTGGTTGACCCAGAGACTCTGTGTGTCCTTGAACAAATCCCACTCTGTCCTTGCACTTTTGTCAGGGCAGTCTGAAAACCTACTGCTACAGAGCAAGGCAAGGCTGCGAAGCAAACTCTAATCTGAGCTGAGCTGGCTTTTCCACTTGCTCCTGAAACACCATCATCACAAACAAGAGCAACAGTCAAAACCCAGAACATCATGGTGTCAAAAACCAGCACTTGAAGTATGAGAATGTTTTATTACATGAATCCACAGAACAGTGGGAGGTAGCTGGAATACCTGGGTGGAAATCACCAAGTATATTGCATTGACATGAAAACCTTCATTTTTGATGAGGAAAAAATGTAGGTTTTAAAGGGCAGTCATCCTTTAGACTCCTGCAGTTTGAATGACCAGACAATGTGTGGGACTGTTTGACCTTGCTCTTAAAGCTCAGAAGCTAGAGCAAGGAGATCTCTGCTCAGCCTGTTTATCAGTATACAGACAACTCTTAGAAGGTTTCTGGAGAAACACCCATCAGTGGAATTGCTATTAATTATCTGCTACATTTGGTTGCTCCCTGAGAGGTGCTGCTCCAACGCAGCTGGTTCGTGATCCTCCAACCCAATTTACAGCAAAATGTCTCTAAGAGGATTAAGTGGCCAAATGTCATGTTGTGCTGCTGTGCTGCAGGGTTATCTCTGCCTGATGGGGGCAGCAATGAATTAGTAAGTGCTGCCACATTTACTTACCCTAAGTGTAGCTAAAACTACTTGAAGGGTTAAACTCTGAATTAAAATATGTTTAACAAGAAAGATCAGAAAAATAAACAGGGAGAAAGCAGCAGTTACTCACCAACTCCCTCAGTGAATGCATCCAAGTTATTAACTTAATTTTTGCCCTTACGAACCTGCAAAAGGTGCACAGATGTAATTAGCCCAGGACAAAAGCAGCATGAGCTGGTGGAAGCACCATGAAGGAGGATAAGGACCTGCAAAGCACCAGATGCATCCTGGCATCTGCCACAGCTTTGTGCCTCAGCATCTTTTTTCCATAATAAATAAATGTAGTGTCCCAGGACAGTGACTGCGTATATCTGAATATGTATCTGCATTAACAGAATTGCTTTGTTCTTGTTTAGCCTTTTTTGATGGTACCCTCAAAAATGCCCCCAGTTGCAGTACTGACATCTCCACCATAAGAGTGGGAAATGGATTAACATGGTTGCAGGCATGCTACCATGTTAAGGCATTCCCATAGAAAATCCATTTTCTGCACAGAAAATCCCTTTTCAGAAAAGGATGATGGTTGTAAGCATCTCCCACAGCTGATCTTCTATGTACTGAACGCTGGATTTTTTGGCTTGGAAAATAAAATTGAGCTATACCAAGACAAAGGCATACCTGCACAAGGAGGCATAGAGACTGCCTCTGGCTGTTAATTCCCTATCACCTTGAGCCACTTGCACCACATCAGCACTTCTGGATAACAAAGCAAAGAATTTTTCTCCTACCATTAAGTTCCCACACACACCACTTTCGCTCTAGTCCTGTCCTGACTGGCACCTTAAAAGACTCCTAGATAGATTTCCAATAAATATTATTATTTATAATAGCCCCTTTTCATACAATTTCCCCAATCTGACAGATGCGAAAACAGAAAACTACTAGAGCAGGAGCTGCATTTAAATTCTTGCTTGCTTGCTCCCACACTGGTCTTTTCCCCCAAGTGCTTGTATTACAGGAAGAATATGTAACAGCTGGATTATACATGAACAGGTTCCTTGGTTTCACAACACTTAAAAAATACGTAATCACTCTTAAAGTACTGCTGAGTTAGATCTGGTCCTAAGTGTCACTGTATTTCCTCAATGGAATCTTTATAAAACTCTATTTTAGAGCCATATGTTTTACTCCAGAGTTATCTCTGTAAGGTTGCACTGCCTCATCCCATTTTTAATCACTTTTTTTTTCCTTGTGGCAGATATGGAAGGCAGTTCCCTAAGAAGTCGAGAGAAGAGGCTTAGCTTGAATTTGGTAAGTACCCTGTTTGCACAAATTTAAAACACTGGCACATAAACTTCAGAGTGAATCATTTCACATCCTGATATTCAATCATTCCTCTCCTCTGTTCAGCAGAAGAATTTAAAAAATGGGGAAAAGTGCCTGGCTTTGGGGAACTTCTGTGCTGGCTGCTTTGTCACCTTAGGCAGCCTTTGAGAGAAGAGAGAGGGAGAGGCCACAATACTGAGTACCCTGTTTTTAGAGCAGATGAAGCTGGGTCTATTATGAAAAAGGTTACCAGTAGCCTCAAGAATTAAACTGTTGACCAAGAGCATCAGAGCAAATTACTTAATCCTTGAAAAAGGGGTCTAAAGATGCCTATCACTTCATGGTCCTGAGAGATATCTCTTCTTTAGGACATTGGAAAATGTCTGCTCTCAAAGTGCTTGTGATTGAAGGCTTTATCAGTCCACAGCCTCCTGCCTCGGCCTTTGACAAACACAGTTCTAAGAAGCACCATCTCACATCACATAGCCAGTCTTCTGCCTGGTGCTGGATGCTGTCTTCTGTGGGAGATCCTTTGCAATTTATATTTTTCTCCTTTTTGAAAGCTTGCAAGGATTGTGATCACTCCCTCTCACCACTCAGCCAGCAATAACCTGCATGAAGTGATTTTCTAATGGTAATTCTCAGTGACCAGAAGTGAGTGTAGGTATGTGTCTGCTATCTCAGTTTCCACATATGCCAAAGTCTAGTTCACCAGGTGTTCTCCTTTCAGGCTTTTTTTTGTATTCGGGATCTTCCCTCATTTTATAGGTCAGAATTACTGCTGTGAGAGGCAAGTGCAGCCTCACTGAAGTTGGAGGATTTAACAAATAGTTACCAATCAGTTTGGTTCTAGTTTCCAGCAGTGACTTGTGAAGCTCAGAGTGGACTGCTCCAGAGCTGGAGTGTTCATCTGAATTCATGTGTTTGTCTCTTGTCACTCTATCTTGTGCCTCTCTGAAAGGCCCCATCAGAACAATCCTGGCCTGGGCTCAGCTGAGGTGTGTTCGCAGCTCACAGCAGCTCCTGGCTTGGAGGGGGCTGGCTGTGTATTAATCGAGCTGTTTCTCTTTCTGCTCCTACTTGGCTTGTACAGCCGTGCCGGTTCTCCCCACTGTACTCGACGGCTGCGGACAGCACGGAGGACAGCTACATGCCCATGCGCCCCAGCACCTCTCCCTCCGCGCCCAGCTCCGACTGTTCCCCTGATGGCTACATCCCCATGAGCCCTGGCTCAGCCACCTTCACCTTCCCTGTTGTCAGCACTGAAAAACTCACCAGCCCATTGCCTGAGCTTCCCTCCAACATGGAGCCCCCTCCAGTGAACCGAGACCTCAAGCCTCGTAGGAAGTGTAAGCCCAGACCTAAGTGCAAAACCTGGGGGTCCTGATGGTGGGGACATGGGTAACCTCCTTTGATAGTGTCCTTGGCATGTCTTAAAGCAATTCCCCCTCTAGAGGATGGGTTGAAATGCTTACAGCATTATAACCTAGGATGCGCTTGCAGGGCAGTTTGTGAGTGGAGGAAGAGCTTCCACAGCTGCTTTTGCAGTCAAAGACCAGGTGGCTGCATAAGCACAATGCCTGGCTTTTCACTGTGACTGCAAAGAGCCAAAGGGACATAGCATGGGAGAGACAGCAGACTAAATCTTGCCACTCTGAAGTACATGTACTCCTGTCTCACCAGCTCTCTGACCTGCCAGGAATGGGACATTCAAACACTCAAGTACTTAAACTTGATGTGTTGGCTGTAGGTTAAGCCTCTGTTGGATAGACACAACTGTCTTAGTTTAATTAGGAATTTTCTGCAGATGCTTTTGCTGATGGTAAATTTCCACTCCTGGTTTTCATGGCATCTCAAAAATCTGGGTTGCACTTCTAGAGAATATACTGGGAGCAAAATTCAGCTTTGAAGTGGAGAAATTTCCTAAACCTAGACTATAATAAAGCTCTTAGGGTTGCAGAGCCACAGGGTTACTCAGAAATTTGTTTTACAGTGCTACTGTAAAATGGGGACAGACATTTAGACCATTGCCATGAAGAAAAGCAAACTCATATCCTTTCTTAAAGGGTTTTGAGAATGGTGGGCGCATGTACATTGAGTGGTGACAGGAATGATCCTGATCCCCATGTATAGGATGTTTTTGTTTAGAACAGAATCCAAAACCTGTTATAACCTGTAGGCTGAATCAGCCTCTCCAAGGCAGCATATGCAGAGCATGTTCGGGGCAAACGTATGTATCTTGTGCCGCATTTGGTCTCTTTATGCCTACTGTATTTATTCTGTTATTTTAGGATGACTGGGGGACTTTGCTTTCCAGCACTGACCAAAGAGGTCATTTGTTACTGATTTCTGTCTTGGTTATGTTCTGTGAAATACTCTGTTAGTTTCCTTCTGTTAATACAAAACTGCATTTTTCTAAACAGTCTGTACTTTTCATTGAAAACATAGTTCCTTTTGTGTTTACTTACAGCACGACCACCTCCTCTGGACTTGAGGAATCTCTCCACAATTCGGGAGCATGCTGCCGTGACCAGGATGTGGACTGTGCCTTAGTAAGTCAACAAGAAACCTGTCATTCCAATCTTTTGAGCATTAGTGTGGAATAGAGTTAAAAATAACTTATCCCATCCCACAAGAAAAATTCCCAGCAAAGTCTACAACAAAAGTTCCCCAAGGTTCCTTTCAGCATCGCCCAGGCTTTTGCTGTCTCTAAAAAGCAGGGCTCCCTTTCCTGGCAGCTCCAGTGAATTCAGCATCATGATTTGAGGGTTCCTTTTAAACAGCCTGGAGCTGGTCTGCACTCTGGTGTGGCTGCTATGATGACTAAAAGCTTGGCATGCCTAAGCTATGATAGAGCCATTTTTGGGCCTGAAAATTAATATAGCAAAGGAAAAGCAGATCAGATAAAGATACTAAAGTCTGAATTGTATACTGGGTATAGAATTCTGCACTGCCACACAGCAATCCAGACTCGAACTTTTGGCATGACCTTTTGTAACTAGAAATTAGTTGTTGGTAAAACAAATGCCTTTGATCCTGAAGCCCAGGAGTATAAACAGACAATACTGTTGGGCTCCAGGGGCAGCAGAAGACTCATCTTCAGGAAACTTGTTAGCATGGGAGCACTTCAGCCTGCTGGCTGGGGCAGTCTTGGCACAAAAAAAAAAATGCAGCTGTGTTGAAGTGTGCATGCTAAAACCAGAAATTCCCATCAAAGTCCTCTGCACACCCTGGGCACTCCAGAAAATGTGGGGTTTTGCTGGCATGAGTGCCAGAGAGGGCATTTCCACTCCCCCATTTCAGGCTGTCATGTGAAGGGCAAAAGGGACACAAGATGAGCCATTTCTCTATTGCAGAGCCCTATCTAACATCCAGTTCAAGGCTGGTTAAGCCCCTTGGCACTGCCTGTTAGGGAAAGCCAATACCCTAGTTCCCAAGCATCCCTGCCAGAACATTTAGGTTAATCAGTGCTGACACAGTGCAGAGTTTTGAAGGATAACAAGCTTAGGGTGAGTTTGCATGTTTTACACTAACAAAAAGAAGTTATGCCCAAAACTAATATAGCAAAAGGAATTATGCTTTTCGTGCTGCACAGAGAGGCCATCTAATTTCCTATTAACCAAGCTCATTGTGCTTGCCTGCGGTAATTTATTCACCATGCACCTCTGAGAGTTGTGTTCATGGGATAGATTTCCTTGTGCAAGGGCTGAGTTACTGCCATCTCCACAGCATGGGTGGCAAGTGTTAACCCTGTATACAAAGCCAGACCAAGTTCCTTTGCATGTACCTCCAGCAGCTGATTAATTCACCAGTGTCCAAAATGTGGATACCTGCACAGCCTAGTAACTGCCCCCATTATTACCCAAATGAATGATAATTCTGTGCCCCTAGGTAGAATTGCTTCAATGTTTTATGTTTTCTATCATACCAGATAGCAAACTTTCATAAATACCAGAGGAAAAAAAATCAACAAAATCAGTCAGCGATATAGCACACTATTTCTAGAATTAAGGAGTTCTAGCTTTGGACAGCCTTTCCATAAAGGCCACAGCCTTAGTGTGAGTTTATTCACCATATGGACTGTTTCAGGCTTTGGCTTCAGTTCAGTGCATCTGTAAGATGCTTCATTAACCTCTCCTGTGTTTTTCTTCATAGCAATCGAATGAGCTTTATCTCACCAGAAAGAGACGGTATTAATTCAGCAAGAATATTTGCCAATTCAGTTTCCGGAGAAGAGGAAGAAAGTTACATTCATATGGTAATGTCATTTTCACACAGCCATCCTTTGCTTTATTCTGCTCTGTCACACTGATGGAGAATGCAGAAGTTTGTTTTCTAAGAAAAAACATTGAGGAGATTTGTCCTTTGCCTTCTGGTTTGTTTGCTTATTTTTTCAAATGATGAAACGGTTTTAAACCAAAGACACTGGGACCAATTTACAGAGAGATAAGGGAAGTCCTTTTCCTGCTTTGCAGAACTCAGCTGTTTGCTCACGAATGTTGCTGAGCAGTTCCAAGAGATCACAGGGATCAGCCATATTTACATGTGAACTCAATAAGACAAAGGAAAATTAAATCTTTTCACCTTTTAAAATTGTGCCTTGCAAAATCTCCTAGGAAATAACAGAAAGCCTTTAGTGCAGTTCCTAAAGAAACACACCAAATATTGTGCAGAAACAGAACTCCCATTAAAGTCTCATTGCTTCTGCTTTGGCTGGTGGCATTAGCCCCACTTCCCATCCCATGAAAGAAGAACATCTGGCTTTGTGGCTTCCTATTTTTCATTTATTCTTTAGCCATATCTTGCACAAGACCAGAATCTTGTTTTACTTTGAATTTTAGGTGGAAATGGATCTCAAATCCATTCAGTCTGACTACAGATCTACTCCATAGCCAAAGCCCAAGACTAATAGCTATAAAAACATATTGCAAAACTGACCACAGCCTCCATGAACCATAGTTTCAAATTTTAACCCACATCTCTGCCAGACTGAAATCTGCTCAAGAGGGAAGTTCCAGTTCTAACCATTCCCCTTTGATTTTTCTAGTCTAGGAAAACCTGTCATATGTTTGTGGTTATCTGCGATTTAATGAGAATAATTTATGAGAATAAGTTTCTACATTTGAACTGAATTTTCACAATTTCTTCAAATTCATTGAATGATGATGTTTAAGTGGGCACCACTGCAAATCTGAGCATTCCAAGGGCTTGGATTGAGAAGCTGGGTAGAAGTCCTTCTTGATAAAATTTAGTGTAAATCAGCCTGTTTCATTTGTTTTGCCAGAATTATCAGAAGAAAAAGGGTCTCACGGTTTCTTTATGCCATCCCACAATTATCAGTGTTATGCTGTGATTAGTAACCAAATGCCCCCTTGGCACAGAAAATTATGGGGACCCTTTCTGTTCTCATGCACATTTTCCCAGGCGAATCTCCCAACTCACAGTTGTGATCCTGTTTCCTTCTAGGATCATGTTTTTAGAGCATTAAAAATTTTTCTTCTTTCCTGACAGGAACACAGACAGGCCACATCTCCATACAGTGGTGCTTTTCCATGGACAAGGAAATCTAACCTTGATTACTTAGCACTGGATTTTAACTCTGCTTCTCCATCCCCTGTGCAGAAGGTACGAGTCATCTGAAAACCCTGCAGCCTCTTGACTTCTTGTCTGCTGGGAGGAAATTAAGATCGAGGGTCACATTCTGCTAGGTACCTTAAGTGCCATGATGAAGCCAGTAGTGTTTCCAGTTAGCTTTATTTGTGTCAGGCTCAAGATTAATTTGATAAAAGCATGATGAGGGTGCTGACAAGGTATCTTTAGTGTGACTTATAGGGACGCTGCTAACACAAGCTTGGTACAGGGTATGAGACTGTTCTGGGAAGTGCAGCCATGAGGGCTTGTGGGCAAGTGGATTGATTATTACAGGATCTCTGCATGCTCCTTCATTTTCATCAAGTCTCCACAAAGCCTCTCCTGATAGTTTTCCCCAAACTCTCTTTGCATAACAAGTTTGCAGCCCATGAGAAATTCATGGCATAAAACTGTACCATCTCTTATAATCTGGCAAAATGTGCATTTTTATTCTTGCATCACCAAAACAATTTCATTTCCTTTGCAATGCTGAGAAAATACACTCCTTTTTCCAAAGAACTTCTAACCTGCCCAAGTGGTGTGTGTACCACTGCAAAGCAATGAACTGTAGTCAGTTTGGATCATTTTATGTCCTGTGCATAATTTTCCCCATCAGCCAATATTCTCAGATACAAAAGACTCAAGACTCTTAAGCTTCCTTATTTAAACTCTCCCTGTATCTAAAATCAGTTAGGTTATCCTTGCAGCAGGATCACTCAGATGAGGAGAGAATGATTATCTGCATGGAAATAGCCAGTACAGCATGTTTCCCTTGCTTCCTGTGCTGGGCTGAGTGACAGCATGATGGATAATTATAGCTAAAGCAGGCTGTAAAGCAATGCTTTTATCAGCCGATGTCACTGTGAGATTCAAGGTGAAGTGAAGCAATTAAGGAATGAGGGAAAGGGAACGCAGAAAATCAAGCTAAGTTTCATTAGCACACCTTTCTTCTTTCAACCTGAAAATTAAAACATTGTTTTTTTCCTCTGTACCATAGAAACCTTTTCTGTCTGAGGAACAGAGAGTGGACTATGTCCAGGTAGATGAACAGAAGACTCAAGCTTTACAGAACACTAAGCAGGAATGGACAGATGAAAGACAATCAAAAGTGTGAAGGAAGAAGATTTGCAATCTGGAGGGGTTTTTTTTTGCACTGGAGCCGCAATGTTAATGGAGCAGCTAGGACAGTAGAGCTCAAAGATGCTTAAAATCTGTTGAGGCATTTTTACTGGAAACCTTTGATTTCAGCTGGAAAAAGTAAGTTGTGGGAGTGAGTGGTTCACTGATGTCTAAAGTAATGCGTAAGCCTTTTTACTACCCTTACCAGTATGGTACATGGTACAATTTTCTGGCATGATTCTGCAACGATTCATATACTTAACGTTCACAAATTCACTACAAGTTGTATTAATCTAGTTTGTCCTGCCTTCTCCTTCTGTCGCTTAATTCCTATTAATTCCTCAAACTATTTTTTGATACCCCTACAAATGCTGCAGGTGCTCAGAGTGCTTTTATGGCAGCAAGCATCTGACAGGTTTTGGTGACTAATCAACTAAGGGCTAAAATAATGAAACAATAAAAAAAACCTTTTTTGAATATATAGTGCTTAAGCAAAGAGAAGTTTGAAAAATATTTTTCCCCTGGGTTTAAAAGGTCTGGCTGTGAGCTGATGCAGTCAGAACTCAAAAAAGGACTACACACCCATGCAACTGGAATGCATGGTCTTTGACCATCTGGGTGACAGTCATTGTATTAAGCTTCTTCCCTCCATTGTGGCTCATACTTGTCACTTTTCTGTCTGATTCCTACTGATATTTTCTCCCCTGTCTTGGAAAGTGTCTTTGGCACAGCCCAACTGCTCTTCTAGTAGGAGGCTGTAGCCACACAGCTCTTGGATGGCCAAAAAATAGAAAGGGAAGCTGTGAGCCTGTTTCTGCAAGCCTTGAGAGAACTGGCAGAGGATCAAGACTACTTTCATCTGAACAGCAGAAGAAATGCCATTGGAATTGCTGGTAGCAGTCATCAGTCTGATTGTTTCACTAGACCCACCCCAAAATAAAAAGAGCATTAGGAAGTTTCAGTGTGCTCTGCAAGAGGCCAAGAGCCTGCCAAATCAGGACAACAATGCACTCATGCAGCATGAGGACATCTGGGCTCAGGAAGCCTATCTACCTTGGGACTTGTTATCGGCACTATCTCAGGATGACATATCTGTATAGTTTATAAAATATTTAACTTCAAATGCTTGGCTGTGGTCTTTATTTTACAGTGGCACATGGCCACTTGATTCATGGAAGTAGGCAGTGACACAGAGTGACCCACACTGGGTTTGGTCTCACAGGCTTTGCTCCTGTACACGAGTCCCAGTAGCCATAAGAGGTCTGATCCTGTCAACATGGATAGACAGACAGGACCCTTACAAAAAATTTCTTCTCTGACAATGCCAATTTGCTGGCCTCCCCTTATGTGCCTGTTGTTAACACGTTGCATTGCTGTAACCAGACATCCTAAAAATTCTGAACTACCAAACAGAGGTCATAGAAATGTCATTGCAGAAACCACTGTCATTTGAAGGCTCCTACTCAACTTCTTCCCTACACCCTATCTGCTCCAATCATTCAGGCACTCTGGGAGGCTGAGTCGCTCGTCCTGTGGGAGAAGCAGCGTAGCTAACAGAAAGTTTTCCTCCTACCTCAAGTGAGCTGAAGGGCTTGCAAGTCTCACTGCTTCTTTAGCCCAGCCCCTGGGGATCTATGGTGACCAGGATCTCACTAGGTTACCCTGCAAGAACAAGGTTCACCAGCACCTTCACTGACTGGGGCAAACTGGGCACCCAGGCCTGTGGGCATGAAGTGTCCTGGACTAGAGCTGCTTGGAATACTGGGGTTGGTCCTGCAGATAGCTGACCTGCTGTTCCATCCTACTTTGCTCCTCCCCTTACTCACCAAAGCTCTCAAATGAAAGTCGATGTTCATAAAAACTTTGAGAATAATTCCAACTTTTCCTTACATATCTTGTCTGTCTGGTGCAAAATTCAGTTTGTCAAAACCCAGTTGATTTGTCCTCTGATTTAGCAGAGCTGTGAGCACCCATGCCCTGGGAGTGATATTGTGTCAGGGGCAGGGTGTTTGGGGAGGGGCAGTGGATATCTACACCTACACAGAGGTGTCAGAGAGAGGGAAGCATGGAAGGACCATGGATACTTTGCCTTTCTGCTCCAAAGAATTGTCTTCCTTTCAAAGTGTGCAAATAGCACGTGTTGCTGAAAGCTCTTGATATGTGCTGATGTACTGAAAGGGTTAAAAGACCAGCTAAAATATGTCTTAAATTGCGGACAGACAACCTCCACAAAGGGTGAGCAAAGTTATGTTCTGCTACTGCAGATCCTGGATTGTGGAGAGATGGCAGGCAGGAAAGCCTCTGATGCGGATCAGAATCACATACAGATCAGCTCATGTTTGGAGTGTTTCCTTTCATGCTGTCAGACAATCATCTGAAGTGGAAAAACACCAAGTTATTGGAGACTGATTCTGTCGTTATTCTAGTTTATTGTAAGAATATTTGTACTTCAACAAACCTGGCTAACAGATCATTCAGAAGTTTAGAGAAGAAAAAGCTGTATGTGGATTTTTACTCCCCTAGAAGGACATTAGCTTATAGCTTGACAGGGACTGTCCTTAGATCAGAATGGCCCCTTTCAACTTCCTGTGTCCCCTGCTTGCTCTCACAACACTCTTATCTTGATCAAATGCTGCTCACTGGTTTCTAACTTTCACTTTTAACTTGAAGCCAAATTTTGGGGGTTTATTCCTATTTTTTATGTAACATCTGATTTTATTGGCTGCTCCAGGGCGCATGACATACATTCTTGTGCAAGTACAACACATGAAACAGGAGCAATTAAAAAAAAATGGGGAAAACTATTTAAAAGCAGAGCAGTCCTTCTCAAAGGCTTTTATTTATTTTGTTTTGGTCAAATTCCACAATACTTAAAAGAGGGTAAAGAGGAGGAAGATGGTGGGAGGATGGCAAAGGCCAAATCTGTTTCGGCCACCTCACCACTAAGGATTTGGGTGTGAAGGGAGCTACAGCAGCCACAACTGACAAACCTGTGGACCAGTACCCATAGAGCCAGCTGGTGGGACTGGAGGAGTGTTACAGAGCAAAAAGGAGTTACTGTTTAGTTAAGTCTGATCTTAAATCTTAATCCCTTGGCCAAGGAAGAAAGAAAACCTGAAAACTGAGTCAGCTTTTGACAGTGTCTGAAAATATAGCCCAGGCCAGAGCCCTTGATTAGTACTGGCTCTGGGGCCAGCCAGGCACATTCCTGATGGTGTCCTCTTTTTACCGTGGGTCTGTTATTTGCATGTATTTTTTTCAAAAGTGTAGTGAGAGCTGATGCAGAGAGAGACTCTGCACATAGAGTGGCCAGTGGCCCCTTAGCTCCTGTGCTGAGGGAATTGTGTCGCCCTGAAAACTCAGCTTCTGAGCTTGCTGACATGGTTTTCTAAGGACTTTCCCAGGACAGTAACTGTAAACATAGATATGTGTACATTCTTTCTGTTACACGTCTTGTGATGGGCATCTCTCATGGCCAGTGCAGTGAGAAAGTGTTATCCTGACCATCCAATCCCTGGCCATGGTCAGAAGCCTATAAATCCTGGGAGGGAAAATAAACTTTCTTTCTTTCACCACACCTCGACCTGTGTCCGCGTGATCTATTGATCTTCAGCGGTAACAGAATTGGAATTGCCCAGCCCAGGTATTGTAATGCCTTCTCTAGCACTGCTGGGGCCTCTCATTTAAAATGGGGAGAGTGCTAAATGAGAAGAACAGTTTTCGTTTAATTGGAAATGCCACCTTGTGGAGTTGCTGGATGCAGCTTGGTTGCAGGATGACATGGAAAACAACCAAGCTCAATGGTTTGAGTCCTGTGGTTATTGTTGGGGCCATCAGCTGATTTCTCCACACTGATGTGTTTAATATGGCCTTACTCATCTCCTTCAGTGACTGCACATTTGATCAAGGCAGAGCGGTCCACAACTCATTTGCTTTTTGGACTATACTACATTTTACATTTCTAATTCCTTTATGATAGTAGGCAGCATTAATTTACTTACTGGCAGAAATGAGCACTTAACCTGAGGAGTGCCAGCAGCCATGTAACTGGAGTAAGGCATTTTCAGCTAGCTCACTTTGCCAGTGATAGCACCTGCTTTCTTCATTGTCACTAACTACACATCGTCCTAGATGTAGATTTTGGAGTTGCATTCACTTGCAGTGATTCAGAGGTTTAATAATTCAAAGACCATCAGATGCTGTGATGACAACAAAACACAGGGCAATGCCTTCCCTTTGTCCCCGTTCTGCAAAACTTGCTCAGGTTTTTTTTTAAAAAAAAGCCACCAAAATAGCAGACATATGCCATGTCAAAGCCAGGATTTTTTTTTTTTTATTTTCAAATAAAAATAAACTTTTTCTCATGCAAATGAAGCATTATACATTTTTTTGTATTTGTAAATCTGTGGGGAAGCATTAAACAGTCATCTCTGTTACAAAGGGACATGTCATTGCTAGAGGGAAGGGGCTCACCTTCCTAATGTTTCATTGTAATGTTTGGTGTATATATTTGCACATTAAGCTGTATCTTTTTCTAATAAATTAATATAAAAGATAGCTGTGATCCTTAATCATTTTCATAAGTAAAGGTGCTCATAGGATAAGCTCCCATATTTTTCATTTAATCCTTTTTCCATTTTTTAATTCTCTTACTAGGCAGTGACTTGTTAATTTAAAATATTTGGATGCAAATTCAAACAAATTTGCAAACAAATGCCATATACCTGCGTATCAGGGAGATTATTTGCAGAATAACAAAGAACTATGAAGTTGTGACTTTGACTCATGCCTGTATCCTCCTGGGACAGGGTGAGCTGCAGTCCCACAGTCCCAGCCCCAACTCTTGCTGCCACAGCCAAGGGGCAGAGGAAGCGGCCACAACTCTTGACCGACCATGTAGACCACAAGTACAAATTTATTCAGCAGATGCTCCAAGGTTGGATACAAAGACTAGTTGTTATGTAACCTTGTCTTTTAATTGCTCTGTGCTGAGGAGTGTAGTTGCTGGTAATATAATTTCCACATCCAGCAAGCTAGGGACATGGGATCCTTTCAATGGGCACATGGACGATGAAACAAGGCAGTCCATGGAAACAGAGCTGAGCAAGCCTTGCTGCTAACAAGCCAGGTAGTTTGGAAATAGTTTATTTATTGCTTCAGCCTAGTGCCACTTTTGGATCTGCATGCTTTGTAATCCTGGCTGGCGGTCCACCGTGGTGGATTGAGGGTGGTGTAGTGCTTAGAGAGCCGCGGACAGAAACTTGGCTGCACAACTCAAGATACACAGACACTTGCAACTGAGATAAGCCTTCGCCTGCAGTCTTGATAGAAGGGAACTCCATGATACTTTGTGTTTGGTCTTCAAGAGAGGGCAGGTCAGACAAATAAAGGTCAGATAAAGACTGACTGCCAGTTCACAGCTCTTCTGTGTCCTCTGTCCAGCAGAGATGGCAACCAACAGCCCTTTCATCAGAGAGCACTTGCCAGAAAAGAGACCTCCCTCAATTACACCTCCTCTGAGAGCTTCGGAGGGAAACAACTACATCAAAGCCACCATCAGCCACCACCATGAAGTGAGCCAGGAAGCTCTCAGACTTCTCACACCTCTCTGCAAAGTACTTTAGTGATTGGATAATAACAACAACAACAACAACAATAATAATAATAATAACAACAACAATAATAATGGGGAAAAAACTGACAGCAAAGTGCCTGGATATGTGAGCTTGGCTCTATAGAGGCTGGCTCCTCTTGTTACATCTGCAATTTCAAACCACATCAGATACTACCCTGAAGCAAAAAGCCACAGTGCAGCCAGCCAGGTAGCAAAACCAGGTTATCTTCATGGGGTATGAAAAACAAACCTCTCCAAAAAGTCAGAAATTCCCTATCATAGAATTATAGAATATATCTTGAGTTGGAAGAGACCCGCAACAAGCACTGAAATCCAGCTCCAGATCCTGCACAGCACAGCCCCAAGGATCACATCATGTGCCTGAGAACATTGTCCAAACTGTTCTTGAGCTCTGGTAGGCTGAGTACTGTGACCACTTCCTTATATAGGCTATTCCAGTGTTCACCCTTGTGGGGAGGAAACTTTCTAATATTCAATCTTTCAGCCCAGTGCTTTTTTGTCTCTTCAATTCTTTTGGTTAAAGTGCAGTTGCTTTGGTATTTTTTAGCCAGAGCTGCTCAGTAGAGCATCTGCCTTAGAAACAGGCATTCCTTCATGGTTCTTGGGCTCTATGTCAACTCAAAGCCACCGTGGTGATATCTCATTTCTCTCCAGATCTCCAAGAATTTTGGCAACAAAATCATATTTTACTTCCAGTTGTTCATGTGGGCTTTGCAGGGCAGTGACTGCCCCCAGGCCAGTGGCAGTAACAGAAACAACACTGAATTTGTGAGGTCTTAGTCCTGTACCTTTTCTAGCAACATATGCAGGCTTCACACTGTGTTTTGATAGATCTTAAAAGATGCATTTCTCCATCAAACAGCATCTAAAACTCCTCTTCCAGTTGTTTAGGGCAGAGAGTGCAGAGGGATTCAGCTATCAGGTTATACATATTTATGTGAGTACACTGTGAGCCAGGGGTACCACATCCAGTGCAAACAAAGGATGCACTGGCAGAGACTCAGCCCATTCCCAGCTAGGGAGCTGATCCCAGGCCCTGTTGTAATGAAGGAGCAAGTAGGGAGCAACCCAACCTTTCATTCACTGTCCTGTTTTGCTCTACTTTGATTTTCCTTTCACATCCAATTTTAGCATAAGCTCATTGTTAAACAGCCCCAGCATCCTGCTCTGACAGCTTTTGGATCTTGGCATTGGCATATCCAGTGCTCCATAAGAGCCTGAAAAGCCCTTGCTCTCTGCTGGGCTCACACTGAGGGCTTTAAAGCTTTGAGCAATTTGAGGGGGTGTTTTCATTGCATGTGTTTGTGGTGCTTGTTGCA